AGCAATTTTTTATAATAAAACCATAAAATATTCCAATAAATATAGTATTAATTCTGAAGGATAAATTTATTCGTAAAGATAAAGCATGTATGTGTACCTCGAGCAAATATTATCAATCACAAATATTATCCACATTAACATAATAATATAGTCACTTGATAAATTAATCACGAATTAAATTAATTGCAGTGATTCTTTTCAATTTGAAGCCTCTCCGAGTCAATTGAAATCGATTAAAAAATAACAGTATGAAATTTATAAATAAAGTTCGGGCTGATTTATTCCTGCATGCACATTAGGCATAAATACATCATCGATCACATATTTAATATTTCAATAAATTGTTTTCAGCAGTTTAATTGCTTATCATCTTATCCGATAATGATGCATTAATTATATCTAAACTCGATATTATACAATCTTCTGATTTCATATTTAAAATAAATATAAAAGTTAGTTAATGAAATGGCCGTCAAATAATAGATTAATAAATTTTTTATTTAAATATAAAATTAATTATATTAATTATTATATCAGAAAAACGATTGTTAAACTAAAAGATTGTACTACATAAATATTGTAAAACCTTATATTTTTATATTATTATTATTGTAATAATTAAAGAATTACAGTTTTGCAATATTGTTTGTGGAATATTACAAGCGTATTACTGATATTTTACAGGCATATTGTTAATTTACATTTCTGCAATATTACATTGCAATCTGTAATATTGCAACATTGCAGCAATATTACTTCAATCTTCTGTGCTGTATGGGTTCTAAATTATAACATTTTTTTCTATTTTACCATTAATAGACATTTAACTCGAAAATCAGCACAATCAAGAAAAATATACAGTAGCGGATAGAAGAAATTACAAATGTAAGAAGTACATTTATCGAATTTTTTAAAAATTGAACAACTCCGCAACACTACACTAGACTAACCAACACAAGGAGCGAGAAATAGTTGCTAAAAATGGATGTGAAACAACTTATATGTAATTATTATCACATTGAGAATGACCCGATGACGGATAGAAAAATTAATTATTGTATGTACAATAATTAATTTTATATATTAAATTATAATTATTACCAATGAAA